GATTTGGATTCGTAAGAATACTGGGTTTTCTGCACGCTATATCTCTGCTATCCGGCAGCCGATCGGAGCGCGGCATGTCTTTTCGTGATCGGGAGAGTCCTGCCAATCGACTGCCATCGGAAAAAGGGACTTCCATTTCCTCACGATTTTCGCAAAAAATCATGATGGTTACATCATTAAAATTGCCAAAAATCGGCCTCATTTTCGACGTCGAGATTCTGATGCAGTCTCCTGGGAGAGTCTCCTGGGAGACTTGGTCCTGCATCGATCTGCCCTTATTTGTCTGAAATATAGCCTTCCGAAGATTTGCATATCATTAAAATACTGTTACTTTATTTAACTCTTCCTTTCATTTTAGCAGATCGCGCCCTCCGGTGGATAGGAATACCTTTCGCGTTCCCGTGGTCACCGATTTGCCCACCATTGTTTACCAGGGGCATACGGGCTCATAAGAGGGAGTGTGCGCTCGATGACGGATATGCCCTCCAGGCGCTTCACCGGCTGACATCGTGAACATCCGCTGGCTCCTGCGTACGGGGACAAGATTGCTGTCCCCCATTCCCGAGGCGTACTCGAGTCAGACAGAATCGTTTTCCAGCAGGACAGAAACGCTCCCCTGCAAGATCCGAACCCAACAAGCCATCGTCATCCTTCAACCTGGCCATCGACAACAAGGACTTTGACTATGGCAATCAAGGGAAGGCTACGCGGGCTACTAGACTCTAGATAAATATCGTTGTTGTTATGTTTAAGGATATATACGTCCATTCATTTAGATAGTAGATACAAATTTGTTGCACTTGTATATTTATTTATACTAAGCTAAGTTATGATGAATAAAACTATTGAAAAATCATCCTTGCTGTATCCTGATTTGGGGCAAATAAAGCGGGGAATTTAGGGAAAAAATAGCAGAGAAAATTTAATATTGTTGATTCTCTAAAATGTCCTTGATCCTGGATAAGGACTCTATCAAATCAGGGACATTTTTTTGATCATAGGAAGCTTTCGCACGCCCAGATCGGCCCACAAATTATCGCGAAAACTAAATATGTATGGTGGGGTTGTTGGATTCCTTACCGAAGGATCAAGGACATTTTTCCGATCACGTGGGGCCATGGCTCGCCTCGATAGCGCCACACATAAGGCATAAAAGAAGATATATGTATCTGGAGAAAATATCCTTGATCCTTGGTCCATGATAAGTTTTCCTACAGATCAAGGATGTAATTCCGAACCCAGGAAGCTGTCGCACGTCCCAATCTGGCCTCAAATAACGGAGAAAAAACAAAACTTGTTGTTGTCAACAAAAGTTTGTTTTACAACAACAACTCTCAAGTTGCGACCGCTCAAATTCCCAAAAACGAGAATTTCAGATCTGGGATACCAGGCGAACAGAAATCAGCAGAAGGTCGCTGGTTTTTTCTTTACAAAAATGTGTTGCATACTTTTGGGGAGTTTGAAAACGGAAGAACAAAAAATTTGTAAAAAATTTAAAAAACCAGCGACCTTCTGCTGATTTCTGTTCGCCTGGTATCCCAGATCTGAAATTCTCGTTTTCGGCCATTTGAGCGGTCGCAAGTTGAGGGTTGTTGTTGTACAACAATCGTCAGCACCAACTTTTATTGTTTTCTCCGTTATTTGTGGCCCGATCGGAACGTGCGACAGCTTCTTATGATCTAAAAAATGTCCCTGATATGATAGAGTCCTTATCAAGGATCAAGGACATTTTAGAGAATCAAAAATATTACATTTTCTCTGCTATTTTTTCCCAATATTCCCCGCTATATTTTTCCCAAAACAAAATACAACAAGGATGATTTTTCAATAGTTTTATTCATCATAACTTAGCTTAGTATAAATAAATATACAAGTGGAACAAATTTGTATCTACTATCTCAATATTTGGACGCGTATATCCTTAAACCTAACAACAACGAGATCTATCTAGAGTCTAGTAGCCCGCGTAGCCTTCCCTTGATTGCCATAGTCAAGGTCCTTGTTGTCGATGGCCAGGTTGAAGGATGACGGTGGCTTGTTGGGTTCGGATCTTGCAGGGGAGCGTTTCTGTCCTGCTGGAAAACGATTCTGTCTGGACAGCAATCTTGTCCCCGTACGCAGGAGCCAGCGGATGTTCACGATGTCAGCCGGTGAGGCGCCTGGAGTGGATAGCCGTCATCGAGCGCACACTCGCTCTTAAGACCGGAAGACTAAAAGGGTGATGCCCCTGGTAAACAATGGTGGGCAAATCGGTGACCACGGGAATGCGAAAGGTATTCCTATCCACCGGAGGGCGCGATCTGCTAAAATGAAAGGAAGGGTTAAATAAAGTAACAGTATTTTAATAATATGCAAATCTTCGGAAGGCTATTTTTCAGACAAATAGGGTCACATCGCTGCAGGACCAACTCTCCCAGGATCGTGAGAATCCAGACTGTCGAACTGCATTAAAATCTCGACGTCGAAAATGAGGCCGATTTTTGGCAATTTTAATGATGTAACCATCATGATTTTTTGCGAAAATCGTGAGGAAATGGAAGTCCCTTTTTCCGATGGCAGTCGATTGGCAGGACTCTCCCGATCACGAAAAGACATGCCGCATTCCGATCGGATGCCGGATAGCAGAGATATAGCGTGCAGAAAACCCAGTATTCTCACGAATACAATACTTCGGAAGGCTATATTTCAGACAAATAGGGCCACATCGCTGCAGGACCAAGTCTCCCAGGATCGTGGGGATCCAGAGAATCAAAGTGCATAAGAATCTCGACGTCGAAAATGAGGCCGATTTTTGGCAATTTTAATGATGTAACCATCATGATTTTTTGCGAAAATCGTGAGGAAATGGAAGTCCCTTTTTCCGATGGCAGTCGATTGGCAGGACTCTCCCCATCACGAAAAGACATGCCGCGCTCCGATCGGCTGCCGGATATCAGAGATATAGCGTGCAGAAAACCCAGTATTCTAACGAATACAATACTTCGGAAGGCTATATTTCAGACAGATAGGGCCAGATCGGTGCAGGACCAAGTCTCCCAGGATCGTGAGAATCCAGACTGTCGAACTGCATTAAAATCTCGACGTCGAAAATGAGGCCGATTTTTGGCAATTTTAATGATGTAACCATCATGATTTTTTGCGAAAATCGTGAGGAAATGGAAGTCCCTTTTTCCGATGGCAGTCGATTGGCAGGACTCTCCCGATCACGAAAAGACATGCCGAGCTCCGATCGGCTGCCGGATAGCAGAGATATAGCGTGCAGAAAAACCAGTATTCTAAGGAAATGCTAAATCCAAATCTTCTCAGACAAATAAATGAGGCCCTAAACTAAGGAAAAATCTATGATAGAAAATTCAAATCTCTGCACTGGGATATTTTATGGATATTCTACGTTGCCGACAGCTCAAATTCTACTCAATAGCGGAACTTCTTTGCATAGTTTTATTTTATTACTCAGGGTTTCATCTTATCATTTCACTGGTTTATTTTTAAGGCTTCTTTAAAGGCGACAGCCCGATAGAATTTATGTTAACCATAGGCCTGTTCTTGATCTGCAGGCTGTAGCTTGGATCCCTTATGACCAGTGTCTTGTAGCAGTGTTCAGATTCGGACATATGAAACTTTTAGGTGGTCACCGGCTTCCTGAGGATCAGATTGGATGAATGGGAAAATGGAATTCCAGATAATTCTGTGTTTCTGTGGACACTTACCTGCCGGTTAGGTTGCAGGAGACCACGGTGAGAGTGAGAATGGCATGAGAACGGGACAAGGTCTCGCTCATTGCAGTGGCAGGCACTGGTCGACCGGCAGAGCCACACGTTGGATGATCGGCAACCTCACGAGCTGAATTGACCTCTAATTCGATGAGGCCGAGCATCACAATGGGCTTCAGTGTCTCGCGTATATCCTCTGGGGCCTTGTCGCGCTTGTTCGGCGGGAAAAGATCAGAAAACTGTTCCTGGGGCAGCTCCACAATGGAGCAGGTCCCAATGAACTTGCACTCCTCCTCCAGTTCGGCAGAACATCATTGACGGTCGTCCGAACCCTTGGTGTGTTTTTCCGAGCACAGTCTGGTCATTCGCCAGGAGGGTCATCTAATAGCCATCGAAGAGCACCTTGTGTTTTCCCAGGACACAGATTTGCTTCAAAGAGATTTTGTTGGGTGGCGTTATACCTACGATACCAATACCCCAACAAAAGTGCAACTAGAAAATGCCTCTTTCCGGCGAAGAGCTGACAAACTTTCACAATTAAATTTGGTTTGATAATTTTGTTGGAAAATTTTAAAATAAAACAAACGATGTTATCCGGATGAAGTGCCAAAAAGTTATGAGACCTGACTGCCCAAATCATGCATATAACTAAGCTAAAATAAAACTGAAAGCAAGCCTACTAAGATTCTAAAGTTTCCGTTTTTCTGTTGCATGAAATTGCGTCACAATTTCTAGAGCCACTGCCTATGTCTTTAGCCTTTTTAAGCTGTGGCACCTTTGATGATTTGATGATAAGGAAAGTCCCAGATAGCCGATAGCAGAGATATAGCGTGCAGAAAAACCAGTATTCTACCGAAATGCTAAATCCAAATTTTCGGAAGGCTACAAATAGCAATCCCGAGCAATCAGCCAAGAGAACAGTACGAAAACCGGGTTAAACATTTGAAGACAGACGGTAGAATCATCCAAGGTCGGTGAGCTGAACATCAAGTAGGATGAGATTAGGGAATTCAATCTGATTTCGGCCATGGAGAAAATCAGCTTCCTGCCAGTCGAGAACTTCACTGATATCAACAGTAAAATCTTCCAAGTGCCCGCCGATTCAACTTTTCGCAGATCTGGTTGAGCAGGACTACCCTCACATATAATGATAAGCTGCCGTTTATGCTTGCTTAACTAACTTCGTGACTTGTCACCGCTTAAGAACGTCTAATTATTAAAAAAAAACAAAACAATTTCTGAACAACTGTTTTAAAATTTGCTTAAAAAGCTAGTTACTGTTGGGAATTAACTTATTTCAACATATTTTCATAATATTTAATGACACTTTTAGTGGAACTTATGGAAATCGAATGAATGGACCGGTAAGATAATGAAAAATGTTTTTTCGCTTAAGATAACAAATGTATGCCGCACTTGGAGCGCACGATGCAATGGGGCACATTTATGTGGCAATGGGGGTGGGAGTGGCCTCTGGCTCGGCTGGCGGTGCCTTCTCTCCGTTGCCGTTCTTGGCAGCTGGCAGATCTTTGACTCCTGTTGAGCCGAAACCGGCCTCCCCACGTTCGGTGTCTTCCAGCTTGTCGACCATTACCAGTTCTGGGTAGAAGATGCGCTCGCAAATGAACTGAGCAATGCGATCTCCAACCTTCACCTCGAAGTCCGTATCAGAGTGGTTGAAGAGAACGACACCCAGGTTGCCGCGGTAGTCTTCGTCCACCACGCCGGCGCCCACATCAATGAAGTTCTTCACGGCCAGGCCAGAGCGAGGAGCGACGCGACCATAGGAGCCCTCCGGAACTTGAACCTGCAGGTCGGTCTTAACAATGGCCTTACCACGGGCCGGAACTACCACATCGTAAGCACTGCAAAGATCAACGCCGGCTGCCTTTGCAGAGCCGCGGACCGGCTCCAAGGCGTGCTCCGTCAGTTTGGCGAATCGCAGGACACACTTGTCGATCTTCATCTTCTTGGCAGCTGGAGTGTCGTCGGTTATGGGTGAAGACATCTACAGTGGTTACAGTTTAATTAGAAATACACAGTTTTCTGCACAAAATGAGGTTGCAAATTTTTGGCGGCGAATAAGCGTCTACTGTGTGACCGCGCAGCCATTGATAAAATATACCGTCTGACAATTAGAAATGTACCAAAATATACCGTAAATATACTGACGAATTTTCGGTATTTTTGGTATTTAAAAAAATCAAGGATATAAAACCATCGATATGAAACCATCGGTATTAAGCGAGCAGCTGTCGCGACTTATCGAAGCACTGCCATCTCAATTGGATTTGTGGGAAATTTTCCCGTGGACGTTTCCAGTTGTGGCCCACTATTCCGCGCTGCTTCAGCCCCCAGACCACCCCGGAGCAACAATCCGACCACAGAGAAGACCCACACTGGCTACCGGAAACACCATCTTTCTAAAGCCAGCTGAGCAGTCAATGTGGCCGGCGCTTCCCTGGCCAAATTTAAAGTTAAAATATTGATTAATAACAATAAATACATTTGATAGATAAACGTAGGCATAGCTATGGACTTCACCGGATTTGAAGTGCGCAAGGTAAGGCAAATATTGAAAATCCCCGCTACATCGTGATTTCACTCTCAATCTGGTGCAGTGCCCACCGACAGCCATGTACATTCCCAATTTCATTACTTCGGAGGAGGAGCAGAGGATTCTCAGCCATATTGAGCGGACGCCAAAGCCGCGCTGGACGCAGCTGCTTAATCGGCGCCTGGTCAACTATGGCGGTGTTCCGCATCCAAATGGAATGATTGCCGAGGAGATACCCGAATGGCTGCAGAGCTATGTGGACAAGGTGAATAATCTTGGTGTGTTCGAGTCGCAGAATGCCAATCACGTGCTGGTCAACGAGTATTTGCCCGGGCAGGGCATCCTTCCTCACACAGATGGACCGCTCTTCTATCCCATCATATCCACAATTTCCTGCGGCGCCCACACCGTTCTGGAGTTCGCCAAGCGTGAGGGGACGACAGCAGAGGAAGGTGATGCCTCTGTCGGTGACGGTGACGGTGATGGTAGTCAGGCGGGTCGGGTAGTTCTCTTCAAGCTATTGCTGGAGCCGCGAAGTCTTCTCATTTTGAAGGACACTCTGTACAGTGATTACTTGCACTCCATTGCGGAGACCAAAGAGGATGTACTCTGTGATCGCATTTGCAACTATGATTTGTGTGAGACCACCTACAAGATGGGGGACCATTTGGTGCGACGCGCCCCCCGCATCTCCCTAACCATACGCAACGTGCCCAAGACCAGCAAAATGAAGCTGAAGTTCTGCTAGACTGATCCGAAGCACTCGAACCACGCACTCGTAAACGTAAATGTTGTTGCTGTTGATTAAATGTTAACTAAATGCACGAAGAAACCAGCCCACTGATGTCAGCCACCAAATAAGCCAACCCAACAGCAATACACCCGGGATATATGGCGACTATCTATGATAATCTGCAAAAAGAATCTTCCGCTAGTTGTTTAAGCACCCACACGCGCACCTGAGCAATCAATGTTTGCCCACACAAAAGTGCTTTATTTTATCATTAATATTATGTATAGATGATATATATATATAAATGTTTGTATTATGTATTTGTGGAGCAATAAGTTCAGCCGTACTGAGAGACAGGTTCCAGACCCAAGTTCCTTAACCCTGCTGGATGTTCAGCCTGTCTGCATCCGGCCTTATAGATTTAGTTTCGCGAGCAATTTTTAAGAGCAATCCACGGCTGAGAGCTATGAATTGTGTATTGTTAAATGGAGAACGATGCGCTCTGTACTGTGCTCTGTATGCGCATCGGTGTACTCCATACAAATCCTGTGTGTATTTTTGTAACCGTTTTTCACCATGCACCGAAAAATGATATGGATCAATTCCAAAAAGTGTTGCAAATAAAAGTTATTGTCGATTGTTACCACACGCGTGTGTCCTTCTACCGCTTTTCACTAACGCCCTGTTAGGCGTCAGCCTCCTGCCACTCCAGACGAAACTCCCGTTCGAATACCAGGCGGTCGTATAGACGCACTTCGCTGATCCTCGCCGAGATGTCCAGCCGCAGCTCGCTCACCGCCAGATGAAAGTTCTGACGCACGGTCCGTTGCTTGTCCGGCGTCAGCTGATTGAGGGGCTTCCTAAAGATGCTGATAATGCGCTGGAGGTGATACTCCACGCTGGCGCAGCGCCCAATGCAGACCCAGAGGTTCTCCGGGTCATGTATGTTGCCCGGGAAGCGGGTTCGTTGATCAAACGGAGCCTTGCCCGACAGCAGAGCCCTCACCTCGGCCACAATCTCCTGGTGTGTCTTCAGGTCTCTTGTGCTCAGGCTCGTGAACTCGTATTTGTCGCAAAAGTACATAAGTTCAGAGATGGCCACCCAGGGCTGCGAGGAGAGCGTTGTATGGTGGTTCGACCAGTTGGAGTACCCTGCTGGCGTCGGGGATTTGGTGGCAGTCGCCGCAGCGGCTGCAGTGCCCGTGGCAGGGGGAGGGGTCTTCGTTGGGCTTTCCAGTTTGGGTGGCATGGCTTTGGCCGCGTCCAGGCCATTTGTGGTTTTCTTTTGTATGCTCTGCAGCTGCTCCATTTCCTTCTCGTGCTCGCGGGCCCTGAGGTAGGCCTCCTTCTTCATTTGCAGCTCCTGCAGTTTGGTTAGCTTCGGCGGCGAAGAAGATCTTGTGAATATGCTGGCCGGCGATTTGGTTGCCGGTGCCGGAACACCACCTATACTCAAAGCGGACTCATTCTCTGTGTAGATCACATGCCCGTTTGTGTCCAGCGATGCACTGCGCCCATACTTGGCCCGATACCGCTCCAGGGTGTCCAGTGAGAAACTGAGCTCCTTCTTTATGGCTTTCTGCATAGTTTTTCCTCCCGATTCGGCTTTATGTAATCACCTTGAAACGTTCAATGCGTTCAATTGCACGCGTTCCTCTCGAAAATTTACAAGCGAATGCAAGCGAAATCGGGGAAAATTCTTTGCTCTTCTTCGGCTCTCTTTATTTTTATCTTTTATCAATAGACGGCAGGCAGCCATGTGTACTTTATTTTGGTCTCTGCCAATACATTTTATTTTGATTCGCATACACATACATACATATGGATCAGGAGCACAAATCTTGAATAGAATACACACACACAAATGCCCTACTAATAACTAATTAATCACTTAAAGTTCTCCAACCTCCTTCTTTTTTGATACCTTTTTGTAGCTTCAGGCGACGTGTTTTAATCTGCAACCGCTTGACTGGAAAGCGAGGATCGAGTGACCGCAATTCTTGTTCCTCTTTCTCGAAGCTTGGACGACAAGCAGGGACCGGAGTCATCTCCGGCGAAAGATCTAGCTCGGACTTGGTATTTGTGTAGTCCGCATGGAACTGTGAGTAGGTTACAATGTATAGTTTTGAAACTTTAAACAATTTGTATGCTTTTCTCTTACCCACGCCTCACTTTCGAATCTAGAAATTATTCAATAGGTCCAGCAGGCTACATGAGAGCGTTTTCAGTACAAGGTATACAGATTTGATTTATTTTTATTATACTCGTATTGTAATGGCACACATTGTTTTTTGTGGATTTCGTATTAAGTACAAACTTATTGAATTCGTTGAATACATATTCATTTATTTATTAATTTTATCATTATATAGTTTCTTTTTTTTGTAGAGTGCCTGATCATCTTTTAAAAAAAATGCGTAAAGTACTTTTAATACTTTTAATTTGTTGTCTGCCAGCTCAACAGGCAGGTCGACCGATCTCTCACATTGATTGTGGTAAATAAATATCTCCTTAAAACATACGTAATAGAAAAATATACAAAATTACATGCATCTTCAAAACAAAGACGGATACACGACGGATACACGACGAATGACTAACTAGAAAACGTTTTTACAACTACAATTGGGGGTTAGCAGAAGGCACAAGTTATACACAGAGTGATGAGGGTTAGTGGAAAAGGTCTTTAGGAGGAGGCTTTAAGTAGATTAAGATTAGGTGTGTTGCAAATGTACAATAAGGATGGAGTCATCTCTCTCGCTTTCCATTCAGACGCAGTACGATGAGGGAACCTCGAAGATGATACTGCCAGCGGAATGACGGAAATTTGGGTTCTCCACATGGGCCACTCCCTCGACTACAATGTTGCGTGGCTTGTCGCCCAGGCGGCAGGCAATATTACTGCTGACATTCACGCGGAGTTCCGTGCCAGTTAAGCTGTAAGAAATTTACACATTTAGATATGGATGATGGGCACTCTGTGATGGAATACATACTCATGATACTTCTTGCAAACTATGCCCACCAGCTCACCAATACGGTCTTCCTTCAGAGTTGAAGTCTCGCCCTGGAGGGAAAAGACCAAATCGTTGTTCTTTGGTGAGTGGAAGACAATGAGCTGGTCCCGTCCAGGCGTAACACTGATCGACGTCAACTGTTTAGACAAAAGTTCAGAAGTTAAAATTGGATAACGATAGACTTTGGATGCCCAATACTCACTTCACGGATAGCGATGGAGCGTTGGAGATCACGGAACTTCTTTTTAATGCCATCCAGCTTGCAAATGTTGGAGTCCGTGACGATGAAGGCACGGTCCGCCTGCTTGTTGTGTCGGTTGAACTTCTTCACAAAGCCGGAGAAGAGCACCTGGCGGAAGGAGTCGCCTCCGCCGTGGTTCTTCATGTTGCGCACATTGGTGGTGTACGAATCGTAGCCGCTGTTGTCCTGCGAGTTGGACAGATAGTCGCCCAGCCATCTCCGTTGCTGGCCCCAGTAGGGTCGTCTGCCCGCCAAGGCGGTGGCGGCGACGATCTGCAGCCGCAGCTGGGGCCATTCACTGCGGGGATACTTGCGTAGGATCATGTAAGCACGCCAAAAATCGAAGATACGATGCAGTTTTGATTCCGCCTTGCGGCCGGCTAACGGCGGATGGGGCCATTGAACGCTCTTGCCATAGTCCCGCATCTGCTTGGCGTTGCGGAAGCGATTGGCCAGCTCCTGGACGTAGCTGCGCAGCTTGTAGGTCTTGTAGGCCCTCATTATGGCCATGGCTGCCTTCATCTTCTTGTAGTTCCGCCGGGCAATCCAGCCACGCACCTGCTTCTGCAGCAGCGTCACAATGTGCGGTATCATATCGTTCCTCTGCTGTTCCAGGGCAAAGAGCGTCTTGGGCGAGCGTATGAAGATCTTGGTGTGGCCGTATTTGACGTCCTGGGCGAAACCCTTCTCCTCGATCAGAACTCGAACGCCATCACGGTCGCTACCGGCCCTGAAATTGGGCCACGTGTACTGGGAGATCATCTTATAGCGCAGCAGGAACTTATCGTAGCGCTGGCGATGCACAAAGCCGGCGCGACGCACGCGAACGTTCTCGAGGAGACCCAAGTAGCGCACTTGATGCTGGATTCGCTCCTCGTCGAAAACTGTCGAGCTCTTAATGTCATTGGGCTTGACGCAGCGGACATAGAAGGGTTCCTTCTTTAGCAATGTAACCACCAGATCGGCCATGGATCGCTGGAAGAGTGTTCCCGCGGTGAGGGGTCGCTTTGTGGTCTTCTTGATGTCCTGCGCTCCCTCGGGCCACATCTCGCTGAGGTTCGAGTCCTTGGAGTTGTGCAGCAGACGCTTGAAGTCCTGGTACAGTGTGTCCTTGTTCTTTTCGATGAATCCATTGATGTTGTAGATCACATCACCCGCGTAATGGGTGATGCGGAAGTCCTCGCGATGCTTCAGCTCCTTGTCCGTGGGCTTCAGCTGTCGGCTGGTGTAGTGCGGATGCTTGCTCAGGTTCTTGTCCATGGCCCCCAGCAGGGTGTCGTCGGTCACATTGCCCACGCTCAGACAGGCCTCGTCCATGATGGCGATAATGCCCTTGTGCGGTTGCTCGACCAGATCGCAAATGATCTGAAAAGTAATGGATATCTCTTTAGTTTAAGGGTTTCTTTGAGGTTTCTCGAGCGTACCTTGTTGTTGAAGTAGTCAATGTTTGTCCACTCGATGCCCTCGCGCTGGTACTCCTCCTGCTCCTGCTTCAGCACCAGTTCTGAAAGAGAATACATGGCTTAATCAGCATGAATCAAGGATAGAAAGCTTTCCACACTCACCAATGAACAGCTGCTGCAGCTTCTCGTTGCAGTAGTTAATGCAGAACTGCTCGAAACTGTTCGAGTCGAAGATCTCAAAGCCATAGATATCCAGGACGCCAATGACAGAGTTGTGCCGCGCCTGGGTCTTGCTGCCGCGGAAGAGAATCGCCCGATTGATGCGCGAAATGATCCAGGTGAAGAGGCGATCATAGATGGCCTTGGCCAAAGCATCCTTTCCGTACTCTGCCTGTGTGGCATTGTGATCCTTCTGCATGACATTGCCACCGGCGGCAATGACGCGCTTGGTCAACGCAGTCGACAGCTCCGATTCGGTGACCTGGAGCAGCTTGGCCGTGGACTGCAGATGCTGCTTGTTGCTGATCACCAGCTCATCCTCAATGGCTGTGGAAGTACCGAGAAGTCAATGCAAATTCATCCAACTACAACTCTCTTTGAACTCACTTTGGAACTCCACATTTCCCAAGTGAAGAACTGCGGCCACTGTGCGCCAAATGGTGTGCACCTCATCCGCTGAGAAGCCCAGGGTCTTGAAGGCATTGCAGGTGCCCTTGTAGTCGGACTTCTCCGTCAGTATATCCATGCTGCCTTGGTTCAAATAGTGATATTTGCCCGTCTCCTTCTGCAGCTCGTATTGACGCAGCTCATTGTCGTTGGCTCCACGCAAAAGCTGTAATGGAAACCAAACCAAATTGGGGGCATTAGTTCAGCCAGTCCACTATACGTAGAGCACAAATTATTCAGTTCCATGCCTGTGACCATATCTATATCGCAAGTATTTAGCACAGCAGACAATTAGTAGACGTGCTATCCATTATTAAATTTCCGTTTACCAATTTATATGTTGCGGTATCCCAAAGAATATCTGTGCTCAGATAGTACTGTACAAAACTTGACTCACTTCAACATAACTTTGGCACTCGTTACTCGTTGCTATCTCAGTGTCTCACGAATAACTGGGAAACTCCAGGAACTATCTTTAGCTCTTCAGTCATAAATATCTCCAGCCGAAAACACACACAGTTTATGATCGATGCAGACTAAGTGCTACATTTCCTACAGTATTTACTTTGTTGACTCAGATTGATTAAGAATTAGCACTTGATTGTGGTGTTAATTGAGCAATTGATCAATTTGCAATTAAATAATCTAGCTGGATACTGGCAATCGCATAGCTCTATCAATCAACACCTCTACAGAATTAATGGATCTGAACAATGGGAGTGCATTATACTCGTAAATCCGTTTATTGGAGGTGCGTCTGTTTTTCTTGCTTTGTGGATAAGTCTGGGGGTATGGCTATGTTATCATTTCGATGATATCATCAATCCGCGTATGCCAAGCCAAAGACCAGGGACAGTTGGGCAATTGAACTAAATTACCAGCTGTCAGTATGTGTAATTGAATTAATAGTCTGCTCTTTAATCTTGTTCGTAAGAGAGATAATTAGTCGAGGAATATGTTTTTCGCATAGAACAGTGCTCAAAATTTACTTCAGCGGGCATTCCACAAGTTTGATACACATGTATATATTTTTTCATGGCCATGGGGGCTTATCAAGGGCGAAATTACCCCGAAATATATATGACAAAATGTTCTGTTTTTTTTATAATTGTGATATCAGTTTCAGTGTCTGTATCACAACTTACTCATCAAACGGAAATGAGTTTGAAAAATAGAGAATGTATATATGTGGGCTAGAGAATGGTATGGATTGTCCATAAAGCTGTCTCAAATTGCTTTCGCATTCAAGTTAAATGTCCATAAATGTCTAACACACCCTAGCACACATCAACTGCCTACCCATCCGAGGAGAATAGAATA